GAAAACAGCCTCAATTTATCTCACTCATATAATCTTAATATGTGTACAGGCATAGTGTCACTGTATATAGCAGAGGTACGCTATTACTATTTGAACAGACTCAGTATATGTAACTGATATATCTGTGTATAAGGTGCTGTTAGAAACATCCACAATGTATGTGATTCACATAATCTGTATGCAGGTTGGTAGTATTAGATAACCCTAATTTATACACGGCATTGATATTTAATATATACAAATGATCTAAGGTCTGGGTTTTGCGCTGAAATGTAGCACTGCCTAATTTTAGCAAATACAAATGCACTGTTATACTGGGTAAGTAATTATTGCCTACTGTGGATTTTCTATTTCAGTTTTTAAATGAAGTGGATAAGGAAACATACTGCTTTTGGCTTTGTATTAGATTCCTTCTCCCACAGGTGTTTCGGGATAAGCAATTAACACATTTTACCACTTCAGATGGATTGCAGGTGTTACTGAACCTGCCTGAGTGCCTCTCCCAGGAGAGAAGGAGACCTGAATTTCCAAAATGGAGCATGGTACTGTTTAACAAAATTAAGGCCTTTTTTGTGTGCACTCCTATGTATTTATACATGAGACCATTTCTGAGAAGTTTTTCTATTGCCAAGTATCCTCTCCTCTCTTATCAAGATAAGGAATGTTTTGGTGGCAGTGTTTTATCTTCAGATATATGCTGTTACTGATGCACAGCTTAGAAGATCATGCTGGTTGCAGGAGCACAAATTGGGCTATTAATCGTTCTCATAAGTAGGTAACTCTGAAGCTATTACCTGATTTAAAAAGCTGTTCATATTGGCTTGTTTCTCTCCTGGTCATAACTTTAGTATCATTTTATTTTTCCGCAAACTTCTACTCTGAAGAATTCACTACTTCTGGTCTGGTTTGTGCTCTGGTTCTGGTTCTCTGGAATTGGTTTAACATATTCTTTAGAACTGCGTACCTTTCCTAAAAGTATAATCTTTATAATTTGGAGAATGTACTAATTTTTTATATGCAGTATTCTCTTTTATCCCTTGGGGACCTGAGAGTTTGGCAATCCCTTTAGGATATGTCAGGGGTAGCATGCTTTTTGTTCTTAAGGAATTAATGTTCAGAAATTTCTGACAAGATTCCCTTGTGGTGAAAGGGTATATTATAATTTCCTTTCTGCAATTAAATGTATTCTTTTATGCTCATATGATCCAGGTAAGTTTTTGATACTTAGTATTGCAAGTATTGTAATTGACACTGGAAGGTCTTTCTAGTCCTCAGGCCATTCTACCAGGTTTACTATTTCAAGTAAAATTCACCTGCTATCAGAACAATAGAGGAAATCCCTTAACAGGTAACTCCATTACGGTCCTCTCTTCTGATCTTCATGGGGATTCTTCTAGTGGTCCTTATATCTGGAATTTGCAACCGAGGTGTGGCTTTAAGTGGTTGATTCATCCTACATAATATAATGTAATGCAGCTTGTTGATGACAAACATTTGACTGATATGTTTTTCATGGTCTCTGTACCTAGATCGGTATAAGTTATGGTCACTCCTAACATTGCATTGATTTAATACTTATGGATTATATACTTGTATTGGTGTTGATATCTTGCAGATAATACAAACTGCTTATTATCGCCATAAGCTCTGCCATAGTACTTCGCTACCTGAAGATAAGGTAAGAATAATACAAACTGCTTATTATCGCCATAAGCTCTGCCATAGTACTTCTTCGCTATCTGAAGATAAGGTAAGAGTAAGTATGCGGTTGTTTGTTCTCATAAGGATAACTGAATATCTTCTACTATCCTGATTATGTGTCGGTTGCCACAATGGATCATGTGCCTCTGGTTACCACCTTCTCATCAGTATCCTGCCGATTACATATCTCCTACTTATGTTACACAACGGTCTCTAATAAATTTGATTATACTGTTTGGCATAATCTGTACTATTTACAATGTTTCTTTGAATGTAGGTACTGACGTGATTGTCCTACTTATAATTTAGGAGTTTACACAAATTCCACGGTTCATACCGATGTCTCTTTTTTCTTTCTTTAACTAATCTGTATATGACTCTTCTTGCCCTTGCCTAGTAATGTCATTGGTTTATACCTCTCCTGTGCCTGATCATTATTGTATCAATTCATCCACGGTGTGAGGTATTGTTGTGAGTCTGATTTTTGCAATATATATGTGTATGTATATATATATATATATATATTCATTCATTATTGCAGTGTTTTAATAACACTTATTTCTCTACTAGGCTCTGCCTCTTTCTGACAGGCAGGTATTGATTTATTTCCTGTATCCACAGGTAAGTAGTTCACAAGGCAAGAGGAAGCAGTGTGAATCGTCATTAATAATTACATCCAGAGAGTTGTGAGATTCTCAGTGTAATTCTCGCCATGTTTAATAGCATGGTGTGTATGTTCTCATCCAACCTTCTGTTATGCCTTTTTGTCAAGGTTCTGATCTGATAAGGTCATCAATTTGGTTTTAAAATTTTATATCAAAATGGCATTATCCTTCTCTGACTTATGCTATCATGGCCTTAATTCCTATCTGACTATATTTAGGATATTTCAGATATTGAATGCCAGGAGGTTGCTGACCTTGCAGCCTCTAGGTTAATTAACTTGTCTGAGCAGAATGTATGACAACATCCTATTGATGTCTTGTTTGGCTTTTTTTGAGTCTTCCAAGGTTTATGCAGCTCAATAATGGTTTTATAGCTATTGGCTGTTTTTGAACTCTGTCCCTCCCTCGATATATACTGCTTGGGTATTCCCCATGAGTAAATGCTGCCATGAATAATGTCAGGAAAAAAGGAAAATTTGCTTCATACTTACCGTAATTTTCTTTTTCTGATCATTATTCATGGCAGCATTACGTTTCCACCCATATACTATAAGATGTGAAGCTAGTTACTAAGACTGCCTGATGGGAAGGGGGAGGATCTATTTATACCAGTTTCAGAGTTCTATTTCCTGTCCTTTCTGCTGTGAGGGGAGGAGCTAACCCATGAGTAAATGCTGCCATGAATAATGATCAGAAAAAGAAAATTACGGTAAGTATGAAGCAAATTTTCCTTTTTATCAAGGAATATCTGGTAATTTGTTACATTTTTATGTTTCAGTTAGTATCAAAATAATTTAGTAGTTGTACTACAAAGTTCTTTGCCTTTTATATGTTTTGATTGCACTGGAATTTCAGTGACATTATATCGCAATACACAGGCAATTTTTGCCATAAAGATTCTATTAGATATGGCAAGGTATTGGGATGAAGGGGATACAAAGCATCCATTATGTCACGGAGCATTTTAAACATCAGAATGTGAAGCAACATTTCCAAACCTCCTCTCGATTGCTTGTGGAGATAAAGTGAATTTCCAATGTTGATTCTGTTTACAGGAAAATCACTTTTCCAAAATGTGTTAGAGGCGATTTAATGTGGGAATGGTGTTTATACTTATTAAAGTGAATCACTTGTATCTTTTGTTTGTGTCCCCAAGTTTACATTATACATAAACAACAAACAGTGAAAGGAACTATAGTCACACAGACAACTTCATCTCAATATGAAGTGATCTTGGTGCAGTGGGGGGGGACACAGGGGCTGTAGAGGGGGAGGAGGGACACAGGGGCTGTAAAGCGGGGGACACAGGGGCTGTAGAGGGTGGGGCACAGGGGCTGTAAAGGGGGGGACATGGGGACTGTAGAGGAGGGACATAAGGACTGTAGAGGGGGACACAGGGTCTGAAGAGGGGGTACACAAAGAGGCTGTAGAAGGGGTGGACAGGGGCTGTAGGGAGGGGCACTGGGGCTATAAAAGGGGTTGCCAGGGGCTGTAGAGGAGGGCATGGGCTGACAAAACAAAATGTAAGTATATCCTCCCACCCCTGAGGCTTACCTTGGGGGAGGGAGGGAGGGATGGGCAGGAGCAGGAGCCTGCAGCCAGAACAGAGCTGCAAGGAAGTCAGCCGGCCCGGCTTCCACTGCTCTTCTTCCAGACTCCCCAATGGATTGCTGGGGAGTCTGGGACAAGTCACTTCCCCTCCTCCTGGCATCATCATGAGAGGCTGGCCGACTCCACTGGCTGCAGGGAGACAGGTAATCTGAAAAATCAGAGTCCTCAGCCAGAGGCAGGGGATTTTGCTTTTTGTGCCCCCCTGCCTTATGGTTGCGCCGGCCCTTGCTCCTACCCCAAACCCCCCCCCCCCCATCCTGACTAGGCACATGCTAGATACAGACTACTACATTCACCCTGGTCTCCTTCATCCTAACTGTGGCTGCCTATTATTATTATTATTATTATTAATAATATTATTTATAAAGCACCAACAAAGTGCCGTATAATGGGTGGACTAAAAACAAGTCTTCACAACAAGATGAGTTAGATGCACAGGAACAGATGGTGTTGAAGACCCCACTCAAACAAGCTTACATTCTAGATGGAGTGGGATAAAGTAACACAAGATGTAGGGGTATGATATATTTTAAATACGAGAAAAGAAGGTTGCAAGAATAGTTTAAATTGAAGTCTTAGTTTTTCTGGATGACACAGTTCCTCCACATGACACCATGTGGCCTCATCCTCTGCTCATCCTACTATCACACTCCCAACATTATCCTACCTCTATATCCCTACCTCCCTACCCCCCAGTAAGACATGGACAGCCGTTGTGAGGGTGGATGTAAGAAGTGGTAGTAATTTCCTAATGTAAATGGAAACTCAAGACATTAAAACTTATTAAATGGACACTATAGTCACCAGAACAACTAAAATTTAATGTAGTTGTTCTGGTGAACCAAGTGGTAACTCCTCAGTTGGCCGCTGGAGGTGCTTCCTGGGGCAGTGCTGCCATTCAGCATCTCCACGCTCTGCATGGATATGGTGAATTTTACTCACAGAGATGATTCAATTCTGATGATGTCACCAAGGAGGCAGATCGGGATCGGGGCCAGCGTCAGCGTACCCATGTGGCGCTACAAATAAGGTGAGATAAAACACTATAGGGTCGGGAATACATGTTTGTGTTCCGGAACCTATAGTGTTCCTTTAAATAAAGAGAGCAAATGATAAGTAACAAAGCACATTAAATAGTAAGCAATATTTTTTTTATTAGGAAAAAAAAGCACCATTTGATTTATTGTTTGTACTGGACCATATGTTGTCACACCATGTTTTAGTAATTCATAAATCCACACATGGCATTACAGTAAAGTTTAGCACCATTGGATACACACGCAAACACCTGTCAAATACAATTTCTAATTTAACAGTGAAGTGTTCTAGATTCATTTCCTGAGCTCAAACAGGGTGATACATACAAATGAAAAGCAGACAACAAGGCCTTTATTGATTAAGAGTTTTCTAAAATTCTGTGTAATTTTTATTGAGAAGATTAGTTTTATGAATATGATTGAAAGAAGGCTCTTCGTTTTTTTTTATTTTCAAATACAGAGCTGTAATGAACTGCATGTTTAGAAGAATAGTGTTCAACCTTGGCCCTTCTACTGTTATTGGACTACCGAAGTTAGGTGGTAGAGAATTATGATATATGTGGTACAACATTTGGTTGCCAATTTGTGGTTTAAACATATTAAGCAGGAGGAGAGGTTTTGTTGATATTGCTGTTTGCACTCCACTGACAATTCCATCATTTCAGCATATCTGTCTGAAAATATGTATGCAAGCTGGATTGTACAACATTTTCTTTTTGTGCCATTTTCTTACCTGTCAACATTTATTATTTAGGTCTTGTGTGGGAAAAAAAACCTTTTAAACTCCTAAATATATGAAACATGATAAACAAACATACAACTAATTGTGTCTTACTTATTCACTGGTTTGCATTTAATTTTTTTCAAGCAGTAGCCGATTTAAAAGAAAAGTTTTCTCCCAGGACATAGTGGTCTTTGCAGTGTATTTGGGGGTACAGGCTCACCAGTCAGTGACCTTCTGACCACGGGCTTGCCAATAGCTTTCTGGTGATGCTCTGCAGAGCTTGATTCAGATGAGTGTGGCCACAAACTTGAATGATAGAGGCTATGGTGATAATGCCCATGCACTTTCGGTTGCTGTGGTACCACAGGCACATCTTGTACTGTTGCTTGTTGATCTTGTGCAGGCTAAAAACACAAAATTGCAAACAATTAATATGACCATGCAAATTCAAACGTATCAGTAACATTGACAGAGCTTGTAATTCATATTTAAGACAGCAGATGGTGGAATAATTCAGCTAAAATCTAAAGATGGATTCAAGGTTGGTCCAACAGACTAAACAACACTTTGGGATGGTGGTGGCACATTGCTTTATGGTTCCATACACATGCCACTCATTGTTCAATGCATGCCCCATCCTGGAAGATTGCCCTATGCTTTTTGATAGGTGTAATTCATTGATGGGAATTGACAAGGCAGCTCTGGTTATATTGCTGAGGAAGACAGGAGGCAATTTGTTGGGATGAGCACTGGAATTTTTAAGTGCAAGACAAAATGTTAAGTGCTGTCTGTCCAGCATTCAGAAACTGCAGTAAGAAGTTACCGTCTGTCAGCTGCATATTAACATTAAATTGGGCAGAGGGTGTTGGGATGTGAGGCGATATCCTGGCATCCATTACTCATTTAATGGACACCATGTAAATGAGGGCAAGAAGGAATGTTGCCCAGTGAACAGATACTGCTTCTCTAACATTCAAAATCATGAACAGCAGACATAACTCTTCCTTCTCAATGAAACAAGGGTAAGCAGCAGGAGAGAGTGGAGGCACACGTAATACAAATACAATTACAAAATATGGCTGTGAGTGTTTGGCTATATATGTGAGTGTGTGTCTATATATGTGTGTGTTACTGTGATTCAGAGTATGAATGCTAGCTTGTGTCTATGTATATGTAAAAGTATTGGTAATTTTTTGGGTAAGTGTAGGTGTACCTTCAGAAGGTGGGGTTTAGTAAGTGATGCTGGAGGCACACCTTTTGCCCTTGGTTCCAAGCATCAATGTCTTGGGCCAGCCTTATGGATGTATATGTTACATGTGTTATGTTATTTAAACAGCTCCAAAAGTGCATTTATGGTAGGTAAAGTCAATATATAGAAATTACTATAGAGAGCATAACATATGCACACATTAGTATAATAGGACCCTGCCCTGGACAATTTACCTTACAAATAGTATTTACTTGGGCAGGTAAGATGGCTGATATATAGAAGGAATGTCTACATTCATGTTATAGTTTCCTCATTTGTAGCTAAAGATAGTGTAGTGTATATTTTTGTTATAGGGTTGTGTTAGCTTGAGTTGTCTTCACTTTATTACCTATGACATTTTGTTAGACAAAAAATACAAGTACTAAAGCTTTATTGATATGCACATGAATCCTCTCAAAATACATAAAAGGACATGCATCACTTTGTTACAAGGTAAAGAGATTTTCCAGCTGCACATGTCTAAGTCTGTCAGGAATGCTTAATGCACTTTTCTAGTATTCCTAGGGATAGGGCAGTGATTGGTTAGCTCAGTGTCCCCTTCAAGTGGGTGTGGAAAGCATAATAAACAAAAAGAACGTGAATACATTTATAGTATGAAGACACAATAACAATCATGTAAACATGCACTAGTACTGATGTGGAAGGCACACACAAATGCATATCCATTGACACACTACCACACAAACATGGAGAAATAAACATGCATATACATATCCATGGACACACACCCACACAATCAAGTGATAATTTTAATCTCTCTCCCTCTCGTTACTCAACTCAGAAAGACAGAATAGAAAAGCTCCATGCAACTAAGCCATCCCTCATGTCTAGAGTTAGGGGAACAGGAAAACAACCTGCACCATTATCTATGGATTCCAGACAGCCAGCAGTTACTGCTCTATTTAGCGCCCGCAGACATCAGTGGTGTGTGCTGATCCTACCTGTGGTCCATAGATGTTGCACTGCACATTGACAGTCTCCTCCTGTAGAGCAGGATTTGTGACAACTGTACTAACGCACCCACCATATTGCTGTAACAAAACATAAATAAATTAGAGATTCTTCCTCATATATGTTATTTGAAGCCAATTATAACTGCTAATAGTATACTTTGTAGACATAAACGAATATATATGGATAACATTTTGTTTTGCAGTGCAATTTTTTCATGTAATTTTTTTTTTTTTTTAAAGAGGCACTTCAGTCATCATTACCACTTATGGTTCAATGTTCCTCATTTTTGGAGGGTGTGGTCTTGTTTTGTCTTATTTTTTTTTACCTTTTTCAAGTATCTGCATATCAAAACAAAAGCTAGAGTTCATAATCATGCAATGTACCCCTACGATTTGGAAGTATTTGAAAAGATAATTGAATTTTACCTTATTACATCACAAGATAAATATGAGGACTTTGGGCACTAGGGATTCATTGTTTTTATCAACCCAAATTGTTATTTTTATTATTATTAGCATTTAGATAGTACCAATTTATTCCACAGTGCTTTGCTATCATAGATGGGGATATTTGACAACAAGTAATTAGCATAAAGAACAAAACACAGACGAGATGGAGATGAAGAAAACCCTGCTCAAATCAGCTTACAATCTATGAGGAAAGGGTAAAGATGCATGCAAGAGGAAGGACAGCATGTCATAGCAGGTATGGGCAACGTTTGGCACTCCAGATGTTGTGGACTACATCCCCCATAATGCTCTTACACCTATAATGCTGGCAAAGCATCATGGGAGGTGTAGTCCAAAACATCTGGAGTACCGAAGGTTGCTTGTCAAAGGGTGTAGTGGTTGATGGATAAGATGCCTGTGTCAAAATCCGTTAGTAAAAGTGGTGTGTGAAAGAACAGTGGCAAGAGAGAGAGTGTACTGGACTATGTAAGCAAGGAAACTGAGGAAGGTAAATATAATGAGAGAGGCATCTCACAGGACAAAAGTAGGCTATCCTAAAGAGATTTGTTTTCGGTGACATCTCAAATAAATGGAGGCTAAAGGAGAGTCTGATGGCATGAGGTAAGGATTTCCAGGGAAATGAGGCAGCCCTTGAAAAGGTTGGCAGTGAAGGAATGAGCAGTACAAAGTCACTTGCAGAGAAGAGGGAATAAGAAGAGGTATATGTCACTGGAGTCTTACCACAACACACAGGGAAGTGGAAAACCACAAAAGTTGGATCCGAAAGATGTATTACCGAGAGTTAGACTGGCCGGACCTAACGTATTAATACAGCAAGAGACAGGATCGAGATAAATCAAGGTCAGGATTACATAAATCACAAACCAATACAAAGCTTGGTCAGGATACCACAAAGTGACAATCTATACAGAATAGGGCAATGAAAATAGGCTAAAACAAGCCTTAAATAGGCTCAAAAGGACCCATTGGTCCACATCATCACTGTGACCCCAAACACCATTGGGCCGTCTAGATGACGTGGTCCTTTTAAGGTCATGATGTCATGACATAATATTTTATTTATAGGGGCTTCAGTTCGTCCTACGAATCAGCAGAGGAAGCCGTTCGTGGGACCGAAGGTAAGCAATATCTATTCAGGCTGGGCTGCCACTTGGAGCTTTCGGCCAGGCGGCCTAAAGAACGGAGTTGATATGGCAACGCGGTGTGTTGTGCCCCCATTGCCCGAGTAAAAAGTAATTGTATTAAGGACTGGAAATATCAAGAGCTTATATTGGCTTCCTGTACCATTTGGGTTCCAATTCAAATTACTAGTGTTAGTAATTTGAATTGCATCCCAAAGGGAACAGGAAGCCAATTTATCTTTTGGCAAAGGGGTTCATTCAGGAAGATGAGTCTGGTGGCAGCATTCATTTTAGTCTGAATAGTGTCAATGTGGGTACTTGAATGGTCGATGAGTAGTGAGTTGCAATAGTCAGGAAATGATGAATGCATGAACAAGTGCCTTAGTTATATCTTAATTTAAAAAAGGTGAATGCAGGCACTGTTTTTAGGTAGAAGTTACAGGAGACAGACTGGATGTTAAAAAACAGGTAGGGCCTGAGTCAAGATTAACTCCAAGGAACCAACCTTGAGGGGTTGGCATAATAGGTGTCCTACTGATGTACAGGGAGAAAGAATGAGGTGGATTATTTAAGAGAAAAACACGAGTTCATATTTGGAAATATTACGGTTTAGGAAATGGTAAGACATCCCATTAAAGTTGGAAAAGAAGCCGTTTGTAACATGTTCCAGGAGTGCTGGAAAAAGTTTAAGGGAAGAGAAGTAAATCTGAGTATCATCAGTATATCGATGGTATGGAAATCCAAAACAGTTTATAAGGTTACCAAGAGAAGCAGTGTAAATGGAGAATACAAGAGGACAAAGAACAGAGCCTTGAGGAATGCCAACTGAGACGGTTGGTAAAAAGGAGGTGGCACCAGTAATAAAGATACTAAATGAGCATTCAGAAAAATAGGATGGACAGTACAGTGTCACAGAGCATGGGCGTCCAAGAGGGAAGTGTAAGGGGGGGCACTGCCCCCCCCCCCCAGATTTTTCAGATAGATCTACTATTTTTCATGTGCGATTAAAACTAGAGTGCAATACTGGAAAGAGACAGGGATAGGAAGCTACATCTTGTCCCTGCTTCTCTCTCCTGACTGAATCCACAGGGGAGCAGCACTTGCAGCCAGAGACAGCCTACAGATCAGGTAGGTGAGGGATGGGGGGGCAGCCTATAGATCAGGGAAGTGAGGCATGGGGGGCAGCCTATAGATCAGGGAAGTGAGGCATGGGGACAGCCTATAGATCAGGGAAATGAGGCTTGGGGGCAGCCTATATATCAGGGAAGTGAGGCATGGGCGGGGCAGCCTATAGATCAGGGAAGTGAGGCATGGGGGACAGCCTATAGATCAGGGAAGTGAGGCATGGGGGACAGCCTTATTGAGGCATGGGGCAGCCTATAGATCAGGGAAGTGAGGCATGTGGGGCAGCAGCCTATAGATCAGGGAAGTGAGGCATGGGGCAGCCTATATATCAGGTAAGTTGAGATGGGGAATCCACCTACAGATCAGGTAAGTGAGGCATGGGGGCAGCCTATAGATCAGGGAAGTGAGGCATGGGGGCAGCCTATAGATCAGGTAAGTGAGGGATGGGGGGAGACAGCCTATAGATAAGGTTAGTAAGAGATGGGGGGGATCCACCTACAGATCAGGTAACTGAGGGATGGGGGGGAGACAGCCTATAGATCAGGTAAGTGAGGGATGGGGAAGGCAGTATATAGATCAGGTAAGTGAGGGATGGGGGGAGACAGCCTACAGGAAGGGTCAGGAAGGAACTGGAAGGTAAGCAGCACAAAGGTAAAGTAGAAGGAGCAGAAAGGGTCAGCAAGGAGTTGGAAAGGGCAGCAAGGAGCAGGAAGGGACAGAAGGAGCACAAAGGTAAAGTAGGAAAAGAAGCAGAAATTAGCAGGAAGAGACATCAAGAAGCAGAAAGGGTCTGCAGGGAGCATGAAGGGGCAGCAAGGAGCAGGAAGGGTCTGCAAGGAGAAGGAAGGGTCTGCAAAGAGCAGAAAGGGACAGAAGGGGCACAAAGGTAAAGGAGCAGAAAGAATCAGAAGGAGCACAAAGGTGAAGAAGGAGAAGGAGCAGAAAGGGATCAGAAAGAGAAAGGAGCAGAAGGGTGCAAAATAAGCAGAAAGTAGCAGAAAGGTAAAGGAGAAGAAGGAGCAAAGGAGGAGAGAAGACAGTGTCAGAAGAAAAAGAAGACTGTATCAAATGAAAGAGAAGAAAGAGAGATTGGAGCAGGAAGGAGAAGTGAAGTGAACCCTCCACTTTATTCTGAACACCACATAATAAGGCTTTGGTACCTGGGCCTGGCAGGGAAACTTTTGACCTTCTCATCTCCCCAGGTAAAAAAAAATATCAGTGTTAATGTGTTCACTTTTATTTACTGAGTGTCAGGAAGCACAGTGTGCCGCTGGGTAGGGGTGTCGCTGATTGGCTAGAGCGGTCAGCTGGCACACTGAGCCAATCAGTAGCTCCCCATTCATAAAAAAGTAAAACATTTTTATGAACCGGGAACTAGCGATTGGCTTAGAGCGTCAACTGACCACTCTAGCCAATCTGCAGCACCCATGACTGATGTTAATCTGCACTTCCTGACACTCCGTTTCAGAAGCCAAATACCACTGAGCGACCTGGAGCTGGAGCTGGAGGAAGCCTTTGGGGTTAAACCATTTTAGAGCGGTTTAACCCCTTAATGGAAAAAAAAGCACCCAGGGGCTTCCTGGCATCATAACATTTTCATTTAGATGAAGTTGTTATGGTGACCAGAATGGTCCTTTAATTTGCTTAAAGGAACACAATAGTGTCAGAAATACAAACATGTATTCCTGACACCATAGTTGTGAAAACGCTATTCACCCTCGCTTTATGTGATAATGACTACACTGTCAAAAAGGGACTAAGCATGGATTTCATTACAATTCCTCCCCCCTGGAAAAATTCCTGCGGACGCCCATGTCACATAGTCCAAGGAATCGTGGAGGGTTTGAAAATATCTTGGTATCTTTTAAAGCTAGCGCATGAGCAGAAAGAACACAACAAACTCCCCTAAATTGATGACAAGTACAAGAAATGTTAAAGGAATACTCTAAGCACCAAAACCTCTTCATCTCGTTGAAGATGTTATTTCATTATAGGACATTAAATATTATTCTTGCATCCAAGATAATTAATCTAATCAGTAGCATATAATGTACCGTTAAATATAAAAAGGTACTTACAGCATCAGCTCCAGTATTCGCCACACATGCACTCAGACCTGAATTTGCTTCTTCTATGGAACAGTTAGATGCTACGATAACAAATTCAACACGCACACTGTTTGCATCCTGTAAAATAAATTAAAACGAAACTGCTATAATATTACTGACAGAACAAAGTGTAATAACAGCCCATAAAATTAATGTATCTATGGGGACTAAGGAATGTAAGTTTAGTCTACATGTGGAGGCGATATGATAAATCTAAGGAGAGCAAAAAACAAGTTGCTAAAGAGTGCTCAGAAAACGGACAACAGCTCAATTAGCCTGCCCTTCGGTGGGTCCCCACTCAGTTATCCAGCTGGATATTATAAATATGTTTTGTGGTTGTGCTGATTTCAATTACAGTGACACTCTATGCACTATAACCACTACATGTTATTGTAAAAGGAAAATGAAACACCACAACCACTATCATTTTATGAAAATGACCAGTTTAAATATTCTTATCAAACCTAGATAAATAACATTACGTTCCAAGTGTACCTTAAATGTTTGGATAGAAACATAATTTTCTATTTTTTTCATGGCTGTTACCAGTATTTTAGTATAGTTGTATGTATGAGTTACATTGTATACATATTAGATAGGATGATGAGGAATTATGCGAGTAACCATGTCCCTGAGTCCTCCTTTTTTGGGGGTTTTTTTTGTAACAAGAGTTACACAAAATGTGGAAAAAGATAGTAACAGAATAAACTTCCATCTTTCAGCGTGAAGCATGTAGTCGTCAATGGTCACTGACGACTTGTTATGGCTTGTTACTCTTGTTGACATTAGACATGAGTAAAATGTGTCTGAATACTTGCTTGAATCCCTATCCCTGCCACATTAACTTTTACTTGCCTTTAGGAATGATGATTCACAGGAATTTGGCTATTTTATTCCGACTGTAACTTTTGGTACTCTTTTCCCTTATAATTAAAGAACATTTTAAAATTTACCTGGAATTGCCCCCGACCAATTTCATGTAGGTGGTAGAACACAGTGTTATTTCCAGCATTGAAATTTACAAGGGACACATCAACAGCATGGATAACATTTGTGTCATTCAAAGGAGCCAGGAAGTGACATAAAGGACAGGCGGGAAATACATTTTCTGCTGAATCTAAAAAAAAAAGAAAAGATCTAGATGGAGATAATGTTGCTTGAGATGGTTTTGCAGCATCATTCTAAATTCTGGGGTTTAGGTAAAAATGAATCAGCAGATCTTGAGATAAATTAGCAAAATTATTAAATTTATGTTGAGTAGGTCACAGAGAATGAAACACCTAGAAAATAGTTCAGCAGACAATGGGATAAAAATGATTGAAAGTTCTGTTTTATCTCTTAAAAGAGTTTGCAGTTATTGCTAGCAGACATACTAGACAAAGACATTGGTCAATCTTCTCCATTCTATCATTTCTTCATTTTTAGTACCACCAAGATACCACCAAGTGTCACCATTTTTAGTACCACACAGTGTTACCAATGTCATTTTTTTTTTTAAATAACAAGTACTCAGTTCTCTTTTCTTATCAGAAACATCAGAAAATTCTAAGTGTTTGGTCACTGTGACATATGAAATCAAGTATATGTACAAAAGTACAAAATGTACAAAACTATAGTCTATTTATTGAACACTATTTAAGGAATAATGGATCCATCTCAAACCACTGTGCAAACCAAGAATACCTATTACAATACAAACATGTTTTAAAGATACTTGGCCATTATACAGACTCGCCATTTCCATGTGTTTGAGAGAATGATTTTGAAGTTACCATGATAAACACAATGGGAAAGTGTAATTCAACACAATTGTCATCATGCAAGACAGATATAAAGCAAAATTTCTTACATAGAACAAAGTTGTTGTTTTTTTCTATTGTAAGCTAAAATGATCCATGAAACATACTCATTCTGTCAGCTAAACAGGGTCTTCTGTCTGCCAAATGAGATCTTTTATTTTCCTATATCTACTCTAGAGCTTTGATCTTGCATGAGGCATAGAAATCCATGTGCCAATGTTTGCAGATGACACAAAACTATTTAGTCTTAGCAGGTTACATCTCCTCTATCATAGGTGTTGCTGGGGAGTGGGAGCTTTTGGGGCTTTACCCAAAAATCTTTACAGGTGGTGAAGGGGATCCAGAGCAAGTATATATATATATATATATATATATATACATACATATATATATATATATATATATATATATATATATATATATATATATATACATATATATATATAGGGCCAGACTGGGAATAAAAAGCAGCCCTGGAAAAAATTCTATACCAGCCCCATAATGCATCGAGCCAGCGTGGTGTGCAGATATGGAAGCGGGAAAAAAAATCTTAAAACTGAAAACTATCACTCAAACGTGAAAGAAAGCACTCATGGCGCTTCAAAATAAACAAAAGAGTGAATTTGTTGTAGGTGAGCATTTGCAAATAATCAATGTTTCAATCCAACTACCTTGACATATTAAGGAAAGTTTCATAATTGGACTAAAATTGAGAAATTGTAATGAAAAAAATGAAGTTATCTTGTTTATTTTGAAGTAATAAGAGTGTTCTCTTCACTTTGGCTGACAACTGGATGATCTCAGTCAACACCAATTCAATTCCCATAGGAAAGCATTGAGGGGCTATTGCGCATGTGTGGCAAAATGCTGCATTTCACCGCACCAATCAGCATCTCCTCATAGAGATGCATTGCATCGATGCATCTCTACAGGGAGCATTCAGCACCTCCATGCAGAGTGTGGAAATGCTCAACATAGGTGCTGCACACTGTGCACCACTGGACTAGGAAGCAGCTCTAGTGGCTGTCTGCGTAAATGTTAACTTTCTCTGAAAAGGTAGAATTTATAGTGCTTAGCCTACGGGGACAGGCTACAGATAACAGAACCACTACATTAAACTGTAGTAGTTCTGGTGACTACAGTGTCCCTTTAATACAAAGTCGACTGATCGACTCTGAGTTACAGGGAGAGCAGGAGACACAAGTGAAGATGCCTTTTTTATGTGTCTTTCTCCCCCAAGCCCCTTTGTCTCTTTCTCCCCATCCATAGCTCTTCTGTGAGTCTCTTTCCCAGGCCCCAAGCACCTCTGTGTCCCCCTTTCCTCACAGCTCCTCTGTGTGTCTCATTCTCCCTTCCTCAACCCCTATGTGTGTTTCTTGTTCGTCTTCCTCAGCTCCTCTCTGTGCCTTCTGTTCCCCTTTCTCCCCACACCTCTCTGTGTCTTTTTTCTCCCCAGCCTTTCCTTTTTTTTACTCCCCAACCACTCCATATATCTCATTACCCCCTAGCCCTCGATGTGTCTCATTCCACCCTCTCCAGTCTTCCATGTGTCTCATTCCACCCTCTCCAATCTTCCATGTGTCTCATTACCCTCTAGCCCTCCTTGTGTCTCATTAGCTCCCTCAGCCCCTCCATGTGCCTTATTAGACCTACAGCCCTCCATGTGTCTCATTAGCCCCCCATATGTCTCTATTTTCCCCACTCCCAGCCTTCCATGTGTCTCATTACCCCCACCCAACCCTTCATCTGTCTCATTCCACCCCCTCCAGTCTTCCATGTGTCTCATTCCATCCCTCTAGCCTTACATGTGTCTCATTAGCCCCCCATCCCTCCATGTTTCTCAATCCATCCCCCAACCATCAATGTGTCTTAATCCATCCCCCAGACCTCCATGTGTCTCATTACCCCCAGACCTCTATGTGTCTTATTAGCTCCCACAGCCCCTCTATAAGTCCCTATAGCCCCCCTCACAGCCCTCCAAGTATGCCAATAGCCCCCCTCCCAGACCTTAATGTGTCTCATTATCCCCCTCAGTCCCCCTCCCCATGTGTCTCATTAGCCCCCCAGCCCTCCATGTGTCTCATTAGCCCCCTGAGTCCTCCATGTGTCTTATTTGCTCCCCCAGTCCTCCATGTGTTTCATTTGCCCCCCCCAGTTTGTCCAAGTAGCCCCTTCCCAGCCCTGTATGTGTCTCATAACCCCCTCCATGTGTCTTACTAGCCCCTCCATGTGCCCCATTAGACCCCCCATGTGTCCTATACCTCCTCCCAGCCCTCTATGTGTCTCATTAGTCTCCTCCCAGCCCTGTATGTGTCTCCCATCTGTCTCAGTGGCACCCCCATGTGTCCCATTAGCCACCCAGCCCTCCATGTGTCCTATTAGCCCTCACTCCCTGCCCTCCATGTGTCTCTATAGCCCCCTCCCAGCCCTCCATGTGTCCCTATTCCCTCCCAGCCCTTCATGTATCCCTATACCCCCTAGCCCTTCATGTGTCCCTATACCTCCCTAGCCCTTCATGTGTCCCTATAGCCACCCTCCCAGCCCTCCATTTGTCCGTATACCCCCCAGCCCTTCATGTGTCCCTATAGCCCCCCAGCACCCATGTGTCCCTCATGTTGGTTACCCTGTAATTGCTATGTGGGGACTGCCAGCCAGTGCGCACTAGACAGCCACGCACCGCCCAGATACTATGCCGGCCCACCAGAAAATTTCCTGTGCAGTCCAGCCCTGTATATATATATATATATATATATATATATTGTGGCAGACTTATGCAATGTATGATCATATAATGTAACTAAACCCCCATTATTTTTGCCTATATTAGGTGTTTAAAAAAAATAATAATAATCTATTAGGTCAAAAGTGTGTCAGGATGGCATTGAATATCTGCCTGTGCAGCATGTGCTTGTTTCAAGCTATGTTTTCTTCAAAGTTCATCATGAGCATGCTGTTCATGGGTACAAAGATGGTGACATAATCTAGAAAGGTGGTAATATGTCACTGTTAGTGTATGAGTTATCAAAGTTTCCTGTGGGTTTAAGCCCCAGGTATTTCTGGAACCCAGCAATGCCCCTATTCTCTGCTGGGGGATTTGGATACATTAGAGGTCTGCATGTGTAAGTAGGAGATAAGTTTAAACTTTCTTTTTGCTGTAGCTAGCCCCCAGAGTGTCCAGATCATGTAAAATTAAAAAAGGAGGTAGCCCTAGTGGAGAGATTCCCGCAGGATAGTAGCGTGACACTGTACATAACCTACAAAACATGCTAGTAGAATTAATACTGTTTCCACAGCTCTGCTTATAGCATTTCCAATTTATAGACCCATAAACTCCTTAAATCCTATGGTTTATCTCATTCCTGTCACTATCCACTGAGTGACTAGATCACATAAAATTTGAACAGGAGGAAGCTCTGGGAAATAGTTATTTTAGCATACCTTTAGAATGAGAGAGACACCTTGAGGACTCAAGCAGTTGACCCTGAGTTTGCTGAACACAAAGGGGAAGTGTTGAATTCCGCTATACCATATCTAGCAGCAGGATCTAGAACCAGCGTGGAGCTATCATCTTTGATTTGTTGCTGTATGTACAGACTGTTGTGGATTGAAACCCTGTTTACCTGTCATTAATGTGTATTAATCTCTTCTGCCATGCATTGTATGGTGTTTAAATGGGACAGTAGGGATTTAATCATTGCTAATAGTATAACTAGTCAAGTAAAACTGAGGGCAGAAGAACCCTAGATGTCTATAGAGGTGCTCCGTGAAGGAGAGAAAGCTCAGTGTGATAGATTGTATTAAATTTACTTTAGTCAAAAAGAGACTTAAATAAATTGCATGTGGTAATATAGACTATATAAAGATATACATAGATGCATAAACTGTAAACCAAGTATTACAAAAAAGTTAAAGTTCATGTAAACATATGTATTTGAAAACCCACATAGAGACCAAAAAGGTGTACTGACCTGTGGCTAGGGACCGCAATTACCCCCAACGCTTCAGCTCAATGCCTTTCTCAAAGGGATCTCTGCAATGTACTAAGGTCTCCTGTCTTATTTTATATCCAACACCCATGTGTAACGATTTAAAAACTCATTATTACTTAATAAATAACAGCTGTTGTGGGAGAGAATGGGTGGAGGAATTGGCAGTTCGCCAGATGGGTCAACATCTTTGGATGGTACAGTGAGGCTTTTATCGTCCTGTTGCCACTCTTCCCACGACAGAAACTATGAACTCGTTTTCTTTTTACTATCTACATACATTTTAGTTAATTATAATAATAAAAGACATTCAAGTTATTTTTTATAAGATCCGTATTATGTCAGTTAACATGAAAGAAAACATTTACCTAATTCGGATTTGCACCTCACCCCAAGTACAGTATAATTGCCATGCAGCTTCTGAATTTTAACATCACAGTCTCCTTCCACAGCCTGGAATAACAATAAATGTTGCATTGTTTATAACTGATACATGGATGGTATGTAAATAAAATAATTATGACATTACCTATAAAACGGTAATTTTGGAGCATGGGCCTAAGAAATGGAACAATTAAATTGAGTATCCCTTGCCCTTTTGTGTTAATTTCAAATTAAGTACACTTTCAAAAGTAGAACTTTTTACCAGAACTGTTTTTTTTGTTTTTTTTATATATAATCTCCATTGGTCCCATTGCTTACCTTCCCTGTTTTCTTATGGCGCTACACAATACATTGGGCCTAAACTAATTTAATGCATGCCATACAAATTGATTGGTGGGGCTGAAGCTATGGTTTGTGATTCCACATGTGTTAAAATGTGTTGTTTCCCTCATTAACAGACCCTTCAAGTAAAAGTCAGAGGTTAAGTCTTATCTGTGCAGTTATAGGCTTGTTGTGGACCTCAGAAACAGCCCCCAGCTGGCCTACAAACAGGCCCTCAAAGGAAATAGTGCAGCCATATTGCCACCAGAATGGCACATGGCCATGCTACTGAAGTACGATTGATGCTGATACAAGGTGATAGAAAATGAAAGAGGCATGGGGGTCATGTGGGTTGGAGACATAGAGGTTAAAGACACAAAAGTATAGAAATGGTGATATGGGTGCTATGGGTGGAGTATGGAAAGGAATTATTGGTTTATTCTCACAGTAAGCTTTCACTTCAGGAACATACAGGATTATTTACTAATGTGATAATTACCTGGAATTCAAAAAGAATGCAAGGGGAGTTTCAAATTTTAGATAAAAATCATTGTACTGCAAGCATGGCTGGTTTAGATTTGTTTTTCCAATTTACCTATTTTGGACTAGAATTTGAAGTTCACTTCAAATTCATATTGAGTTCCTAACAATTCTCATTTTAGTAAATAACCTTGATATTGGTCTCAATTTAATATTTTTGGATAGTCTTTTCAAATGATTTAATATTTTAGGATAAACTTTTAAAATTATTAAAATTTTGAAAGATATTTGTTGATATATTTAATATTGATATTAGTATTTTAATATTTGCAAGAATCAATTTAAATGCTATCCAAAAATATTAAATCATTTGAAAAGCTTATCAAAAATATTAAACTGAATCCATTATTTGTATTATTATGCAGAAATTTAAAGGGACACTGTAGGCACTACAACCATAGATTTGAGTCTTCCGTCAGGTAATACCATTTCATACCAGAAATGGACCCTGTGGCATGTTGGATTTGATCATCTGACACCCTCTGACAATCACAGTTGCTCATTGCTGCTCAAGCTAATGCTCCCTCATTAGCCCAAGCAGAACAGGAGGCATGGGGACTCTAATTTAGCATTGCAACATTACAAATGTTTTAACGGTGAATTATAGGCATATTGAACCGGGCCAGCGACGCAGCAGATCTTGCTGAGAAGGACTTATGGTAATCGTACAATGCGTAGCCTCCGTATTTATAAGCTAAGTCTACCAGCTTGTGTAAGTATAAATCTAATTCCTCTCTACAGTGGGGAAAAGCAGAACAAATAACGTCCCTATATAATCCAAAGGCTAGGAGCTAAGTCTAGGGTCTCTAGACTTCATTATCACGGATAAATCATCAAACATGTATGACCTGTTTTCAATTATATCTTGTGATGCTATGAGGAGAGAAGCCAGATTAATATCTTTGCCTTCTAATATGTCACGTTTAAGGTTTTGTGGAATGAGATGTACTGTATTAATGATATTAGAACTTTTAGCGGGTAGAGGGTTAGAGCTACCTCCTGAGTTTGGTTTTGGCTGAGCTACGGGAATTTGAACATCTGGGATGATTGGTTTGTTATTGGATTCCAGATTATTCAATCAGTTGTTAATGGTGGCTACGGAAGTCACTTGAGAGGAGATCATGTTATGTAGTTCTGACAAACTGTTTTGTATATTACAGTCAGAACTAGGGCCAGGCCTTTCATTATCATCATACGTGTTTAACAGGTGAAATAGTTCGGCTTCCCTGGCTGTGGCAGGAAAGGGAATGTTCTTCCTTTTATGTTCGGCTGTAATTTTTGGTATTGTCCAGGATCTGTAGCTGGGCTGGCTACAACGGTTTGCCTCGTCTGGGAATTAGGTCTGGTCAGGGTGCTGGTAAGCGACAGGTCATCTCGTTGTATTGAAGTGTTAGACATGCTATGGGTGTGAGGTAGATGACTTGGTTAATATGATATCTTGATAGGTATGAAGTAACCCAGCTCCCAAGATTTAATGCCCAATGGCAAAATTATATTATTCTAACTAATTTAGGTGACAGGCGACGCCCTCATTACTTGCCAAGTGGCTTTGAGATGCTCTACCTATGATTTGGCTCGTGGGGGCTTTTGGTGCCACTGACGTAAGCAGCGGGGTGTTGGCCTTTCGTGACATTTATGATATTTATGATAGATTGGCTGTGAGAGGTGAGGCCCTAACTATGACACAATGAGTTGGGCCGTTGGGCTTGTACCTCCGAGCGTGAGGATGGGAGTTGGCCTTGCGGGACCGCTCAAGTTAAGGCAAAGAGGCCTATGAAGAAATTATTCCTAATTGGCGAGGACTTTTATAAAAGGTTACTTCCTATCTGGGTTTTTTTTTTATTAATTTTTTTTACACATACCTGCTAATGGACTGATAGGTCGTATTTGGTAAGATTACCCCCACTTGTTCCTAAAACATGTCATAATGAATGAGTTATAGCCTTATACCCCCGAAGTAGTTGTAGAGCAATGACGAGTATGATAAATGAGAAAAAGAAACTAAATACTAACCAACTTTAGCTATTTATGTTGACTTGGGAGAGCTCGGACTTGTTCTTGGAAAGCGTATTAACTTGAAACTATTTATAGAGGGAAACAAACTGGAACTTGTATTTTTAATAGTTCTGGTTATAACAGATAAAATGACTGTAGAGAAGACAAAATGAAGGGATAGGGAGATAGCAACCTAGAGACCTACCATATATACTCGAGTATAAGCCGACCCGAATATAAGCCGAGGCCCCTAATTTTACCACAAAAAACTGGGAAAACTTATTGACTCGAGTATAAGCCTAGGGTGGGAAATGCAGCAGCTTCTGGTAAATTTCTAAATAAAATTAGATCCCAATAAAATTACATTAATTTAATATTTATTTACAGTGTGTGTATAGAATGAATGCAGAGTGTGTGTTTGTGTGTTGTGTGTGTGTATATAATGAATGCAGAGTGTGTGTTTGTGTGTTGTGTGTGTACATAATGAATGCAGAGTGTGTGTTTGTGTGTGTATATAATGAATGCAGAGTGTGTGTTTGTGTGTGTATATATAATGAATGCAGTGTGTATATTTGTGTGTTGTGTGTGTATATAATGAATGCAGTGTGTATATAATGCAGTGTGTGTGTTTGTGCAGTGTGTGTAAACTGGGTGAGGGGAGGGCATTTTTATTTTTTTATTTTAATGTTATATTATTTTAATAATATTATTTTATTATTATATTATTATTATTTTAATATTATATTATTTTAATAACATTATTTTATTATTATATTATTATTATTATTATTTTAATATTTGCATTATTTTTTTTTAATGGTTTTTGTCCCCCCTCCCTGCTTGTTGCCTGGCCAGGGAGGGGGGACAAAAAAACATTTAAAAAAAAATAATGCAAATATTAAAATAATAATAAAATAATAATAAAATAATATAATATTAAAATAATAATAATATAATAATAAAATAATATTATTAAAATAATATAATATTAAAATAAAAACATTATTTTATTATATTATTATTATTTTAATATTTGCATTATTATTTTTTTAAATATGTTTGTGTCCCCCCTCCCTGGCCAGGCAAGAAGCAGTGAGGGGGGACAAAAAACATTTAAAAAAAAAGACCTTACACTGTAAGCAGAACGGAGCTGACAGAGGAGCTGCACAGAGGAGAAGGGAGCTGACAGGAGCTACAGGAAGGTAAGTAACAGCTCTCTGTCAGCCCCCAACAGGAACGCCGGGCTAGTAATGAGCCCGGAGGTCCTGGTCTGTATTGTGGCAATGTAAGTAAAAAATGTGCCTAAAAACTCGGCTTATACTCGAGTATATACGGTACCTATTTAACCACTTAAGGACACATGACATGTGTGACATGTCATGATTCCCTTTTATTCCAGAAGTTTGGTCCTTAAGGGGTTAAATAATTTATGAGTTAGTTTTAAACTTGATGCTTCCCATACGAATGAAAATTAACCGTAGTACATGAATGAAGGCAGACTGAAACCTTATTTAACCGAACGGAGAAAAACACACAAAATTTGAAACTAAATTAATGCGATTACAGTTTCTACCTATGCCATGTACAATCTCTTCTCAGAAGCCCAAGACATTGATTATCAGAGCATTGCCATGGTTATCTGTAGCAATAATCTGAGAGAGAGAGAGATAGAGTCACGATTATCAGGGGAGCCTAAACACGCAGACAGGTCACAAACACACAGAATTGCAATACCAGTCCTTAGAATGGCCAGGCTATGCAAAGATATAGAATAGTCAGAGTACAAGCCAAGGCCAAGGATAACAGAGAAACAAAATACTAAAAGACAAGTCGAGGTCAAGGAACAGAGAAAACAGGGTAAACATAAGACAAGTCAAAGTTCGGTAACCAAATAATCCAGACACAGTATAACACGCTATTGGGCTAAGGAGACATGGGAAAGGTAAGTTTATATATGCTTAGGGCTAACTTCTAATCAGAGTTAATTATCACACGTGGGAGGTACTTATACCTCGCACTTTGACCTGTGATGTCACCACTGCGTGCCAAGTCAGGTGACTGCGAACGTGCGGTGTCCAGAAGGTTACTGGGGAAAACTGACACAGCTGCGAGTGGTGCGTGGTCACTGGAAGCCGCCGCTCGCAGTAATCGAAAGTGTGGCAATGCCGCTCACTGTGCATGGGCATTTGAAGCCGCGAGGGTACAAGTGAAGCTGCCGCGAGCGGCGCGCGGTCAACACGAGCCGCCGCTCGCGGAGACCTGACAGAGAGAATGAGAACCTTTTGGAGGTGGAAGCTGGGTGTCTTCTGGACCCACCTCACAATACAAGGCAGCTCTGGCCCGGGGACCCAATACTCCCTATACATATTTATGGGCTGTACCCAATGATGGCATCTCTGGGTAAGGCTAAATCTTTATACCTACAGATAGTTTGAATGTGAATGCATTATGAGGAAGGGAAAATTGTCTTGACATACAAAGTTGTGAGGGTGGGCCTCTGCTTTAAAACGGTTTGACAAATCGAAAGGGACTGCACCCGTAAAGTCCTTCTATTATCCAAGATGCTGCTATAGTTATGATGCTTGGAGCATCCCTAAAAAAAAAAGATTGTTGATAGTCCTACTATTCTGATACATGTTTTATAAATGTTTGGAGTTTAATTCTGATGTACATTAAGCACTATAACCACTTATTCTCACTGAAGTGGTTATAGTGTCTGTAGTTCCCCGGTGCTATCAGTAAGTGCCAGTATTTTTCAGCAATCCAAACCATGTTTTAATAATTTAACACTGAGCAAATTTCCACAGCAGCTTGCAGCCTGCATTTCTGTGCTACTCAGACTTCTGCGTTAGCCCAAGCAGCAATGGGTGGCAGTGATAAGCACATTAAAATAATTTTAAGATATAGCTTCCTATAAGCACAAAATAAGTGCTATCAACTAAGCTACTACTTTAGTTAATGTGATATAAGCCAGTGGTTCCCAAACCAGCCTTCATGGCCCACCATCAGTACAGAATTTATGTATTTCCCTGTTTTATTCCAATGGAAATACTAACAAAACCTGGACTGTTGGTGGGTCTTGATGACTGGTTTGGGAAACGCTGATATAAGCAATAAGTTATAAGCTCATTGTTTTTCAATAAAATTTACTTTTTCTCCCTTTATATGTTTTTTTTTCAATCCATTTTGGTTTAAACGCATAAGAGGCATTATTAATTAAGCTACTACCTTAAGACGATTAGATTGCTAGCTTCAGAACACTTAAATAGCATACCTAGAAGGAGGGGCGGTTTTTATTATTTTATGCAATTCGTCCAGTAAATTGCACTATACTGCACTTTGTTTCAAGATAAACAGAATTAAAAACATTAATTAAAATATATTCTTTTAGAATACACTTCCTGTGATTTTCCTTGTCTCTATTATTTCACTATTTCTCATAGAAATCACTGTTTTACATTTTGGAAGTTACACTCCTGTGTATGAAAATGGTAATCAGTGTTGCAAAATAGGTTTTAAAATGTAATTTTCACAATTATTCATGCAGTTGCTGCTGCCTCCATTTATAAGTACACAAAAATTATTTTTATTTTGTATTGGATTTTTATTAGACCACAAACTGGAATACGTATAATCTAATGATATTACTACTAAGTGTGGATCATACCGTAATTGAAGACATTGAAAGCATACCTGTTCATTACGTGGCCTTACAATACATTGGTCTACCGGAGTTGGGCTGACAGAAGGACATTTTGTCTCCAGAAGATCCAGCTCTAGAATGTATATTACATGATCCTGGTTCTGGAACAGAGAGAAAAAAACATTTCAGAAACATAAAAAATTTAGATTTTGAGAGTGCTGCATTGAATTCAAAGCAATTTCAAAGTGAATCTCAAATGTAAGGCTAAAATAGACAAACTGAAAACAGCATTAATTTGGAGAATTCTTCCAATTCAGCTATTTTGGCCTAAATGTTTAAATTCAATTTGAATTCACTATGAATTCCCAGCAATTCACACTTTAGTGAATAACCCTGTAAGCCTTTTTCAAATCACCTTACTAAATACTATTTAGGATAAGAAGCTGAATAAATTGAATAACTGTTACGAGAAACATTATTTTTATCACACGCAATGTTCAAGAGCAGAAATATGAAAATCATCACTTCAGCTATTATATGTTTTCTAACCTTACATATAAGATCCAATAAACTCACCTGAGTATATGCTTTTGCCTCCTCAACACGGTTCAAAGCATACTTGTATCCGTGATTATGATTCCAATTAATGTGTTGTAGAGCAAATAATGCTGCTTCATGAGTTTGTGGGTCATCGCAGTCTATAACCCTGTATAAGGGAGGGAGAGCTGTGCACTGGAGCAATAAAACTAAAAATGATGACAGCTTAAGAATCATTGTGGTGTTGGGTTTAGGGAATGCTTAGGAATGGAGAATGAACATGGTATTGCAATATCCTTATATATGTATATATAAAACTATTTGCCAGAAAGAAAATATTTGTTCTGGCTCCTTGATTCTTTACACATAGAACAGAAAAATAAACATTTGGGAGATCAATCTGTCTAGTTAATATTTTCCTAATAAATTTTAACCTCAAATTGGAAAGGCGTTGACATCTGGTACCCCCTGGCAATAAAAACAAATGGGATATAAATTATAGTATTTAATGGAATATGTTTGTTTAGAAATGGGAGCTAAACAGGTATAATTTGTTTAAATTTCTAAATCAAAATTCCTGACTATAGAAGAAGTTGGATATAGACATTATAATTAATATTCCTACTATAAACAGTCAGAAGCCAAAAAATATGTTTTGGGACTATAGGCCTCTTTGATAGCACAGTCAAAAGAAAATTGAAACTCTATGCTTACAAAAAGATTAAAGTTCTAGAAAATTTTATCATCTATATATAAGATGTAAAGATCTCAAAGTTTTGAAGGTGACATTTTATCTAGCACATCAATAAGGTCCCTATTAAAGGAACACTGTAGCCTTAGCAATACAGAGATGTATTCTTAACCCTATAGTGTTTTAGTCCCTATTTAGATACAGTCCCATTCAATTTAATAAAAGGTAAAAAAAAAAAAGTTTTACTTACTTTTTTCCATCATTCCTTAAGTCCAGCAAATCTTCCTACCCCAATTTAATTTTGTCTGCTGACTCTTCTTCAGCTTCTCGTCCAATCAAATTAGTCTCTTAGAGACACTCCAAGTACCAGAAACACCAAAGCCTCTTTACATTGCTGTGGTGCAATTAGCTCACTTGTCTTTTTATATGCTGCCATTTATAAGTGCAATGATTTGAAAAAATCCCACAAAATTAATATTACACAATGTTTCATGCAAAGTGTATAAAAACTGTAAAAATATATATAATTTATCTTTTAAAATCCATCCACATGCTGTGGTCTACCCTCCCTAACAATTGTATCTACTCAATTTGCTTTATAGCACCAATCTGATACCTCTTTGTGATACTCGTTTCCACACCAACTAGATACAGCACTGGTTTGTTGAAGTCTTCAAAATTATTTGGTCACATAGTAACGCGATCAGAACTAGTATCTTGTGTCTTCAGTTTTATATCTCATTTCATGTTCTTCGAGGTAGGAGGATCCTGGTTAGCCCTATTTCGCTCACCTCATAACAATGGTATAGGTTTTGATTTTTGCTCTCCATAACCCCTTTAAAAACTCTTAAAGAAATATTAAAGAGTGTATTCCTAACCCTATAATTTGAATCTATGTATGGTAGTTTGCCCCCCGAAGGTGAGTCTTACATACCTTTCACCGCTTGCCACACTGGCCTCCATGGGGAAGCTCAACCTCCTTTGCTAATGTCATCAAGATCGTCAATCTCAGCCAATCCAATGCTATTTCTAAAGCACTGGGAGGCTAGTGCGCACACGCGCCATAACTGTGTTTCTCTATGAGACCATCTGTTTTAATTAGCTGAGTTTTGCTTGGCTATTTCATCTGAGTGACAGCCACTAGAGGCATTTAAACCCTTTAACATAAACATTGCAGAGGTATAATGTTTTCATTTGCAGGGTTAAAACTAGAAGAACGTGGCACCCAGGCCACTTAAATCAGATAAAGTTGTCTGGGGTGCCTATAGAGTCCCTTTAATAAAACCACGTTTCAGTCAACTTTATTGAAAATTTTAAATCATTGAGTTACAAACACATAAGCTTTATTGTCGTTTTACCTTATTGCATCGAAAGCTTCATTAGTGGTTTGCTTGGAAATCAGCAGCTGATTTTCCCTTCAAAGTATAGATTGGGAGGGGGGAAGGAGAAAGCTAAATCCCTAAAATGTCATCCCAGTCTTAAGGCTGGCAAAACATGGTGGGAGTTCCTGCCACACATGTGGATCAGCTGTTTTACCACCTCTGGTGTAGATCTCTACCAGTGGAGCGACTTATGTGGGTAGCATTTCTCTTATACATGTTTTAGCAATGATAGCAGATGGGGTTTGTAAGACATTATTTAGATGAAATAAAAGAGAGTCAGAGGTTAACCCAATTACATTTTGAAATAAGTGTTTTGCAATGTCATGAAAATGCTAAATAATGAGTAACTGGGTCATTACAGGACGCCTAGGAAAGGTCTCCAGAAACATGCAGGTAAGAAAATAGAGGAAAACTGCAAGTGTCTGGGTAGGCCCACGTGTGACTAGGATATGAAAAATAAGTGGATCAGAACCAACGCAGAGAGAGTACATAAAGGCATGGTACACAAGATAAAACCCTGGTGAAATAAAATTGAACTGAAAACTTTTCCAAGTTGCTCAGCAAACTACTGTCTAGTTACTTTTTCTCAAATTAATCATTTAGGTCTCCATTGATGTTAGAAAGCTCAGGAATGATGGATAGCTTATGAATGTGAAGATAAGATTTGTACAGTTTTGTTCATATATACTTCAGTAGAAATTTGCTCCTCTTCAATGTGCCATCGATCCTCCAGACTTAAAGTGACTAGTAAGTTACACCTGTCCTAGTAGTGTAGACTTTAAAATGTTGATGTTTGATATAGGAATTATACATGTATGCATGCCATACATCCTGACATTTCAAATGGACAAAGAGGGTTCACATTAATGTTAGGGATGTTAGTGGAAGTGTGGCCAGGTGGGGCTCTTATGAGAAATATCAGGTGACGGATTTATGTATTTTATATACATAGACTGATTTAGAAACACATTTATTGTAGTTTAAAGACACATTACTGTAATAGTATTGCTTTGGACCTCTGTTATACAATCAGACACAAAAACAATATGGAGCTCCTAGAAAAGAGGGACGTTAGAATAGAAGGGGGGAAAGAGAGATCCTGTAGTAGCACCCAATGCTAAATTTCAAGTTTAGAATATTTTGTGTTTTTTTTTTCTTTTGTATCATATATGTTTGCAGGTGTATCTGTATCCATGGTGATGGATTGAGAAGACCTTGTTTATTACTTCCTGTCATGTGATTAAGGTGTTAGCCTACATGGGTTTGTAGCCTTTGATAAATAGATTACATGTTACTTGCCTTGATGTGTTGACCTCATCCCAAAAGGCTATTTGTGTTATACCCTATTACAATGGTGACCTGAAAAACAACAGGTTTCTGAAGCAGATATTTTACAATGAGCCATTTTAGCAATGATGACTCTATTGGTATTATGTACAATATTATTGTAATTCTGTATATGGCTTCTTATTAATATACTGTTAGTAATAGTACACATGTGCAATTCGGTTCGGTTCGAATAAAAATTCAGACGAATTTCGGAAATTCAGACATTCGAATGCTTCCGAATGTACGAAGTGCCGAATTGCCGAATTTCTGAACTGACGAATTTCGGAAGTGACGAACCAAACCGAATTGCCAAATTGACAAATTTCCAAAGTGCCGAATTTCGGAAGTGCCGAACCGAATTGCCAAAGTGCCGAATTTAGGAAGTGCCTTAGTGCTTTGGACTTCTGAAAAGTGGCAAAACATGTAGGGTTAGGATTGGGGTTGGGGTAGCGGTACGCTTAGGGTTAGGTGAGGGCTAGGTTAGGAGTAGGGTTAGGGTTTGGTTAGGAATAGGGTTAGGGTAGGGTTAGGGTTAGGAGTAGGGTTAGGGTAGTGTTGGGTTAGGAATAGGGTTAAGGTTAGGGTAGGGTTACCTCTACCCCTAACCCTACTCCTAACCCAACCCTAACCTTAACTCAACCCTAACCCTAGTCCTAACACTAACCCTCCTCCTAACCCAACCCTAACCCTACTCCCAACCCTAACCCTACTTCTAACCCAACCCTACTCCTAACCGTACTCCTAACCCTACTCCCAACCCTAACCCTACTCCTAATCCTACCCTAACCCTACTCCTAACCCAACCCTAACCCTACTCCTAACCCAACCCTAACCCTATGCCTAACTCTACTCCTAACCCTAACCCTACTCCTAACCCTACTCTTAACCCTAACCCTACTCCTATCCCTAACCATAACCCTAACCTTAATTCTATCCAAATCCTAATCCTACTCCTAACCCAACCCTAACCCTAATCCTACTGATAACCCTACCCCTAACCCTACCCCTAACCCCAATCCTACTCCTAACCCAACCCTACCCCTACTCCTAACCCTACTCCTAACCCAACTTCTAACTCTAAGCCAACCCTAACTCTACTCCTAACCCAACCCTAACCTTAATTCAACCCTAACCCAAGTCCTAACCCTATCCCTCCTCCTAACCCAACCCTAACCCTACTCCCAACCCTATTGTACACAGTACTGGAGACCCTATCTTCAGAAGGATATTGATACCTTAGAGAGGGTTCAGGAAAGGGCTACTAAACTGGTTCATGGATTGCGGGATAAAACTTACCAGAAAAGTTTAAAGGATCTTAACATGTATAGCTTGGAGGAAAGACGAGACAGGGGGGATATGATAGAAACATTTAAATATATAAAGGGAATCAGGTAGAGGTTAACACAGTAAAGGAGTTTAAGCATGCGTGGGATAGGCATAAGGCTATCCTAACTATAAGATAAGACTAGGGACTAATGAAAGTATTTAGAAAATTGGGCAGACTAGATGGGCCGAATGGTTCTTATCTGCCGTCACATTCTATGTTTCTATGTTTCTATGTAACCCTACTCCTAACCCAACCCTACTCCTAACCCTACTCCTAACCCTACTCCTAATCCTAACCTAACCCTACTCCTAACCCAACCCTACTCCTAACCCTACTCCTAACCAAACCCTAACCCTATGCCTAACTCTACTCCTAACCTTACTCCCAACCCTAACCCTACTCTTAATCCTAACCCTACTCCTATCCCTAACCATAACCCTAACCTTAATTCTAACCAAACCCTAATCCTACTCCTAACCCACCCCTAACCCTAGTCCTACTGATAACCCTACCCCTAACCCTACCCCTAACCCCAACCCTACTCCTAACCCAACCCTAACCCTATTTCTAACCCAACTTCTAACTCTAACCCTACTCCTAACCCAACCCTAATCCTAATCCTACTGATAACCCTACTCCTAACCCTATCCCTAACCCTAACCCTACTCCTATCCCTAACCCTACTCCTATCCCAACCCTAACCCTACTCCTAACCCAACCCTAACCCTAATCCTACTGATAAGCCTGCCCCTAACCCTACCCCTAACCCTACCCCAACCCCAATCCTACTCCTAACCCAACCCTACCCCTACTCCTAACCCTAACCCTACTCCTAACCCAACTTCTAACTCTAAGCCAACCCTAACCCTACTCCTACCCCTAACCCTAACCCTACCCCTAACCCTGCACTTACCTGAAGTGCCAAAGTCCCGAAGTGCTGAAGCTCTGAAATCCCGAAGTCAAGAAATTTCAAAAGTGCCGAATTGCAAAGTGCCAAATTTCAGAAGTGCCCATTTTTTGCCCATGCACAATCCTAAGTAATAAGTAATATGCTCTTTCAACATTATTTTTTTTTCTACTAGCCTGATAATTAGTTCTAGTTTTATTATAAGAGTGCTCCTATTTGAGTCACTGACTGTATTTATTGCCATATAGTTTTATGTAAATCACACATTAACATAGTCTTGGAAGATTACTAAAAAAACACAAACCTAGAATGTGTTTTATGTAAATTAACCCTTTCCTAACCAACCAGTTATACTTCCCAACACAAGTGGGCAGGACTAAAGAAGGTGTCACTGGCACCGGCCAAAGTTGGCTGTAGTTGTTATGGTGCTTGGAGTGATTGGCTGTGTAAAAAGAGTCAAGTCAGGAGCTCAGCTCATATTGATCTCTTTTTCACTGAAATGGGTATATTGTCAGAATATATGTAATAAAGAAGTTGATTTGTGTAAAGAGGGGGCATGTTTAAAAAGTGCAGGAAGATGATGCAGAAAGTTAAAAAAAAAAAACAGTTTTCCTTTAATAAAGGAACATTGTATTGTCAGGAACACAAACAGGAAACATGTATTCCTGACAGTATAGTCCTGATGTGGCATTTTAGGTGATCGCGCTGAAAAGGTGATTTTACTCACCTTTTCTCCCACACAATACTGGCCTTTCCTGACTCCCTCCAATCTTGATGATCTCAGCCAATGCAATGCTTTCTCATAGGATTGAATCAATGCATCTTTATGGTGAACATCCAGTGTCTCCAGGCCACGCGTGGACACTCTGAATGCCAGTACTACATACTGTGCAGCACTGGACTAGGAAGCACCTCCAGTGGCCATCTGAATTAACACTGCCTTTTCTTTACAGGGACAGGATAGAGACACAAGAATCACTACATTAAGAAAAATGAATAGATAGAAAAACACAGCATGAATATGAGGACAAATGTACTTAAATTATGTTGGTGCCCAGAGTGTTACTTTACATATATACTTAACTGTGCAAATATTCTAGGTACAATAATATCAATGTGAGGTCCAAAGTTACAAGAGTCTTTTAGGACAAGTGGAAAAATGTTTAATAATTTATAAAATACACAGAATAAACTAGTACATAGAGGAATTACCTCTTGTTCAAGGCCACACATTTCATGTGCTCTGCTTGTTGTTGTAGCTGTTGAATATTTATGTATTTTCTATTATTTTTCTTGCTGTTTTGGGGTAATATTTTATTTATGAAAAAATTAGAAAAAAAATAATGTAAAAATAAAGTAGAAAAAAAGTACTAGCCGGCAAAGATTCCCTATTACAGACTTATCTCCTTGTTAATGATTACTGGCCAATATATATTGGCCAATTTTAAATAATTAGAGCAACATCTGAACAGAGGTAAGCTACAGTTGGCATTTTGCTAGTTTCCAGCTATGCCCTAGGGCCCAATTTAATGGAATTTATATTATTAGTCTCAGAAGGATGTCTTGAACTTGCTCTTGCTATCTAACCTGCTATGCGATGGAATTCTATTCACTGAGCTACGGTCTTTCTAGGGGGGTAGAAGAGTGGTGTGAATCAAATGGAAAAATAGTTCAAAAAATAAAAATCCCAGTTTAAATAGCATTCATTTAAGAATTTGAATGTAACAAAATAAGGTAAAACTAATTGTAACAGAATTGTAAATGTAACAGAAGAAGGTAAACAAGACATACAAAGTGTACATCAGCTAACAGTTTCATTTCATGTAAATCTACATCCACATCATCCCCAATTCTCAATGAAGAATTGAGAATTAAAAATGCATAATTTAGAATTCAGTGATGGTGATCAAGATGCACTCACTAGAGCCCCAACCCCCCTGCACCCACTACAGCCTCTATCCCCCCTGCTCTCACTACAGCCTCTATCCCCCTGCTCCCACTACTGCCTCCAACCCCCTGCATTCACTATAGCCCCTATCCCACATGCACTCACTACAACCCCTTTTAACCCCTGTACCCACAACAGCCTATACCATCCCTGTAACTAGTAGTGGGATTCAAAAATGTTAGTAACCAGTTCCACCTTTTCATATGTTTCCAACTCCACAGGACCACCCTCCAGGCATGCACGTGCACACACACACACTTACAAGCACATCGACACAGTCAAACATATACACCATGGGGGGCAAGGGAATACTATTGATGCATTAACCCCTTAAGGACCAAACTTCTGGAATAAAAGGGAATCATGACATGTCACACATGTCATGTGTCCTTAAGGGGTTAAATGCATAAACTTTGAATTTCAAGCCAGTGTGCAGTAAACGCAAAAACCTTGTATATACACAAACATTAGAAAATCGTGAAGGACTATGACGAGCGATCACAGCCATATTTCCCCTCCCTTTTAAGCCGCTCACTGCTGGTTGAGCGCATTGAAGCAGAAGGTCTGAAAGCATAACCACGTGACACGGAATTAATATCACGCGTCACGTGGTCCATTGATAATACAATGATCTATGTAAGGCAAAATTAGTCTCGTTTTTATATGTAAAGCATACTGTATGGAACTCATTTTATTGTATGAAATTATTCATTTGAGTGTTTATATGTTTCTTATATTTTAATATGTGTAATTGACTTTGCTCCTCTCCCATGATGTCATAATGGCGCCAAATTCAAACAGCTTAAGTGTTATTAGCTCCCTATATAAACTCCTATACGTCATGCTTATTCTGCTATTTTGTTGTAGATACTTTTAATTATTTTATCACCTAAATTAAAGGAATTTTTAATATTCCTTTTGATGTTTTTTTGCCTGGCATCCTGATTTACCATCCCAAAGAGGACCAAAGAATCCGAGGTGAGTGTATTACCACCGACGCCTTATACATCGTGCAGTCTGCCTGTTTGATAAAATGTGAGTACATTTTCAATATTTGTATATTACCTATCGGTTTTAAAGCCATAGTGAGCATTATATTGTCGCAATCTTTTATTTTCTCGGTTTGGATCCTTACTACTGTCAAAGCATTTGACGAATTCACCTACCATATATATCCCAGAAGTGGGGATCATTCCACTTCAAGCCATACAAACCGGAGCTGGATATAGCTCTGGTAAATGTGAGTTGAACCGACTTTGCATATTATTTCTATATTACATTTTTAATGTACTGTACCATTTGAGTTTTTTCATTTTATGTTTTCCATGCACTGCTGGAATCACAAGCACTCCACCATCAAGAATTTCTGATTTTACCTTAGTCTGGCTGTTCCCTCCCAAGACATTTTACCCATCGGACCTTTACCTATTGGACTTAGCCTTTTTTATGTTATTGTATTTGTATTTTTATTACAGTCACTCTAGACTTGGTATATTCTAGTTCATTTTATTGAGGTACTTCCTTCTCCTCCTTTCCTTACTATATTAAATACAAACATTAGGTATACCATGCCGATGAGCAATAAATATATAAACTTGATATTTCATGCCAATAAAAAGTAAATGCATAAATTTGGTATATCATGACAATCAGCAGTAAATGCATCAATCCTGAATATTATGCTAGTAAATGTATGTATGTGAGAGTGACATGGGGTGGCTGGGTGTGTGTGAGGGGGACATGGGGTGGCAGGGTGTGCGTGAGGGGGACATGGGGCAGCAGGGTGTGTGAGGGAGACAGGGGGCATCAGGGTGCGTGTGAGGCGGACATGGGGCGGCAGGGTGTGTGTGAGGGAGACATTGGGTGGCAGAGTGTGTGAGGGAGACATGGGGTAACAAAGTGTGTGAGGGAGACATGGGGTAGCAGTGTGTGTGTGAGGGGGACATGGTGCAGCAGGGTGTGTGTGAGGGAGACATGGGGCGGCAGGGTGTGTGTGGGAGACATGAAGTGGCAGTGTGTGTGTGAGGGAGACATGGGGTGGCAGATTGTGGGAGGGGCATGGGGTGGCAGGGTGTGTGTGAGGGGGGACATGGTGCGGCAGAGTGTGTGTGAGGGGGGAATGGGGCATCAGGGTATGTGTGAGGGGGACATGAGGCAGCAGAGTGTGTGAGGGGGACATGGGGCAGGAGGAGGGCGTGCAGAGCCGGTGCAAGGATTTTTGTCTACACAGGTGAAAACGTATTTTGCCAAACACAAATTTCATCTTCACCTGTCTGTCTAAAATCCCCATTTTCCCCCTCTTACCCATCCTTTTGTGCATCTTGCCACCTTTTTCTTTCTATTTTCCCTTCTTGCATATTGTATCCCCTGTTTGTCATTCTTTTAATGCTTTTGTGTCTTTATCCAAATTTTGTGCTCTCTTAACCCCTTTGTGCCACACTCTCACTCAGTGGCTAATACAAACACAGGCACTTACACAAACACACACACATTGACTCTTACACAAACACACACTCCCTGGCTTCTATGCACACACACACTCACTCTTACACAAACACACACACTCACACTGGCTCTTACACACACACACATGGTCAGTCCCAACAAATATTCATTCTATATCTATTCTATCTCCATCCTCCTTTTCCCAATTGTCTAAACCTTTCATGTCCACTCTCTCCTTATTTTTCAATCTCTGGTAGTGTTTCATATCTTTTTAATCCTATTTTTCCTGCTCTTCTTTTTCCAATATGACTGGGGTCTGTCTGCATTCTGCTGCCAACTGTCATGAATGACAAGGGCCACCGGGGGCGAGTCTGATGGCAGACATTTATGGCATAAACCATGGGCAGCAGCAGGGTGAGTAGATCAGGCACAGAGAAACACCTGTACGTTTCTGGAGTCTCAGTCTCATTACTCTCAGGCAGAGTAACTCCCTGCCTGAGAGTAATGAGACTGAGACTCCAGAACTAACAGTCTCTGTAAATTCTCTCACCATTCAACACCCGAGCCCACCTTCAAAGCAACCATAAGAACCAACACCACCCCTGATCAGATTAGTAACATACACTTACTGAGGTGGCGTGTCCTTGGCTGCTTCACACTGCTCCTCACAAACTCACATGCAAAGCTGGAGATAGATAGTAGGTCTGTGCCAGAAGAGGCACAGTCCTGCAAACGCTCCTGAGTGCTGCATTTAAAGACGTACAGCTCGAAGGATTTCTACCCCCCAGTCTGCGCTGGTTTGGCAAACTTGTAAAATGTTAGCAACAGGTTCGCGCGAACCGGTGTGAACCAGCTGAATCCCACCACTGCCTGTAACTACTATAGCCCCTACCCGTCCTTTACCCACCACAGCCCCTATATCCCCCTACACCCACTAGAGCCTCTATGATCCTGCACCCATTACAGCTATCATCCTCCCAGAACCCATTACAGCTCCTATTAACCTCTGCACTCACTACAGCCCCCTATTACCCATTACAGTCCCTATGCCCCTACAGCTATCATTCCCTTGAACCCATCCCTTATCTGCACCAACTAAAGCACTGTCTATATCCACTACAGCCTTTATTACCCCCTGCACTCATTACAATCTCTAACCCTTCCTTGCATCAACTACATCCACTAGCCCTTCCTTGCACCAACTAGTGCAGGTGTGTGCTAGTTGTGTGCTGGTTATATGTAAAGTGTAAAGTGTTTGCTGTCTGTTTGCAATACATGTAGTGTGTGCTGGCAGTATGTATTGGGTGTGTGGTGTGCTGGTTGTATGTAGTGTATATGTGTAGTGTGTCCTGGAATTATGCAATCTGTTTTTTTAAATACAATTTTGTCCTTACCCTAGACCTATGTACAAGCACACACACACTCACACTCAGTGATCCACACACACTCAAGGACCTTCATGTGCTGTACTGGGTCAGCCTGCCCTCTTCTCTCCCTTTATGCACTGTGTCGGCTGCCAAGATACATCATGATGTGGGAGGAATTATGCATGGTATTCTGAGGAACGGACCACCCAGAAATATCTCAAAACTTTACCCTTTTTATGCATGATTAAGGCTCCATAGAGCTGAAACGTTGCACTTATTTGTGAGGAGACTTACCCTCTAATAAACGCACCATCAAGAACCTTGGAGTGTCGCCGGTGTCTTTTACTATTTGCTAGACTCTAACAGATTGTGGTGTCTGCTATTTCCACAGAGCACCTCTAAAGTAGATGGCTGGATTACTAAGCAGTACCTGAGTGTGAGGTGAATTGTTTCTTGTGTGATTGGCTGAGTGTCAGCTGACCTTTTTCACTGTATCATAGTGTCCATTGCTGGTATGAATTGGTATGGCTAGAAGGACGAGAGTAATCTCCAGTGGGGGCATGGCTATGGGAAACCACTGAATGAGATGTGGTTTCATTGCTGCCCAGTCACTAATCCAATAAGGGGGACATGGCACCTAATTATTTTGACCATCCCCCCCCCCCTTTATTGGATTAGAAATGGTGCAGCAATAGCAGACAGATTAGTAGACATCCCCCAACTCTTGGCACGGCGGTAGAAATAGGAGGGAGGATTTTAACCTACCTTATTTACTAATATTAAAGGACCACTATAGTGCCAGGAAAACATACTCGTTTTCCTGGCACTATAGTGCCCTGAGGTTACCCCCACCCTCATGGGCCCCCTCCCGCCGGGCTCTAGGGGATGGAAGGGGTTAAATTTACCACTTTTTCCAGTGCTGGTCGGGGGACTCTCCTTTTCCTCTCCTCCTCCTTGTCGTCGTCATCGGCTGAATGCGCATGCACGTCATGAGCCGCGCGCGCATTCAGCCAGTCCATAGGAAAGCATTCTCAATGCTTTCCTATGGATGCTGGCGTCTTCTCACTGTGAAAATCACAGTGAGAAGCGCGGAAGCGCCTCTAGCGGCTGTCAATGAGACAGCCACTAGAGGCTGGATTAACCCTATTATAAACATCGCAGTTTCTCTGAAACTGCTATGTTTATAGAAGAAAGGGTTAATCCTAGCTGGACCAGGCACCCAGACTACTTCATAAAGCTGAAGTGGTCTGGGTGCCTATAGTGGTCCTTTAAGTATTTCTTCTTAGTATTAGTAAAGTTGTCTGAAAGTGCTTTTCATAGTTTTGGTCTTTCAGTTTCTTAGTAGATAACTCCCTAACCTTTGTGGGATAGCTATGAGGGTACCAAACAGCTCCCTAATTTGGTACCCTCAAATATGGCAATCGCAAAGGCCCAAGACATAATGACCAAATTTTATTGCAAAAAAATGTCTGAAATTCGGTTCAGATTAAACACATTTTTGTTGCCGTCTGAATGGATTTGGATGACAAAAAAAATCTGAATGGTATCCAAGGCTAACTGATTTAGCACAAAGAGCATGCATTGGATTAAGACCCCATCTCATACTCGGACAGGAAAAGTCAGTGACATTACGTAAATAAGGATTCGGTTCCGTGAAGATTACCAAAATTATATTTAAAATGAGGTGATTTTAGCTAAGAAATATGGAAAGTTAAGGGTTGAAAAGTAAGGAAGGGTGGAATAAAGTGTATGTGTGACAGAGCAGCTTTAAATATCCATGTCTACACATTTCACTTGCAAATTAAATTAACAGAAATTACTTTATCGAGGCAGGGGTACTTGGGAATTTTTTTTTAAGATCTGCAGGGATGCTTCTCTGTAAAAGGATGAGAAACACTGCCCTAACACAAAGTCCACCTTGACAATAATACTAAACCTTGCACTGTAGACATGTGCAATTCGTTTCGAGCCGAATATGAATTTGGACGAATTTCTGGAAATTCGGACATTCGGGTACTTCCGAATGTCTGAATAGCTGAAGTGCAGAATTGCCGAATTGCCGAATTACCGAGGTCCCGAAGTTCCGAAATTACCGAATTTCCGAAGTGCCTAAGTGCCAAAGTTCCGAAGTGCTGAAGTGCCGAAGTTCCGAAGCACAGTATTGCCTAAGTACTAATATACTTACCTAGTGGAAGAAGAAGGTTACACTGTATACAATTTTAAATAAAAAGTATACAAACATAGCCAGGATTCAGCTGTAAGCATTCGCACTTACAACAATCACGTAACATTCATATAAAATGTAAGTTACTTGGCCAGTCAATGTAATGACAGGAATGAATAAGTAGATAACTCCCTAATTCCCACGGTATTAGGGAGCTATCTACCAAAAGGCTGCTCACTGTAAAAAACAAAACTGATCTCTGCAGTGCGGGGGAAGGCTTATAAAGCCTTGCCCCGCCCTGCAATAAGGCTCAGAGCCCTCTGATTGGTGGATTTAAGCCATCCAATCAGAGTGATCTGCCAGGTAAATGAAGAGACTGACAGGTAAGTCTCTACATTTACCTGTCACAGCACTCTGATTGGTTGGTTTATATCCATCAATCAGAGTGCTCTGTGTCATTACATTTTAGGGCCCCCACCCACCGCTCAGGGGTGGGGGCCGGGGGAGGACAATAGGTCCCCCCCATTATTTTACTTTAGGGCCCCCACCCGCCGCTCAGGGGTGGGGGCCCGGGGGGGCAATAGCCCCCCCTTAAGTTTAAAAGCCCCCACTCGTGCGTCGCGGGTGGGGGCTCGGGAGGGGGGACCCATTTTTATTTATTTTTTAACAGTGTTTTTTTTAACACTGTTTAATAGACATGCCCCTACTCGCGGTATAGCGAGTAGGGGCACAATTTACTAACACTAAGTAATTTTTACTTAGTATTAGTAAATATGTCTGGAAGACCAAAGTGTTGAAGTGCTGAAGTTCCAAAGTTCCGAAGTGCCAAAGTGCCGAAGTTCCGAATTGCCGAAGTCCCGAATTTCAAAATGCCGAACCGAACAGAAAATTTTTCCCATGCACATGCCTATTGCACTGAAGACTTTATTCAAAGACACAGTGGCTCTGAATAAAAAATACAGGCAGTTAACTTGTCTTCCCTCTGCTAAAGGGACATTTAGACCTTTGCTCAGTTGAAAATAGCAACAGTACATAGCATAATAACAATATAAAGGTGGAAATCGTGTAAAACATCCCTGTAACAGAGCAAACAGCAATAGCAGAAAAATATATATACACTGTTCCTTTGAAAGGATTTGAGATAAAATTACTGTACACTTTTAGTACAACTTACAAAAAGATGTTATTCGTTATTCAAAAAGGAAACTTAGAAAGAAACATAATCTGAATTTGGAAAGAAGGCAGTGCACTGGTAAGATCTTTACTAAATTTACAGAAAGAGTTGCAGTTCCATTAAATCACTTAAAGGTAGAAGTGTTCGGGAATATTAATGGGATTATTCACTAAAGTCTAAATGTTACCAAACTGAACAGGCAAAAGCATTCACTGTTTTACGGGACAATATGGATTGTAAAATTCAGACATTTTTCACAGTATTAAATAATGTATGGATTTTGCACTTCAGGACCCAAATGGCCCTGAATTTGGTCTGGATCTCAGCCAGACCCAGCACTGCCAGGTAGCTGAAATCCACACCGTGAAGATTTGTAAAAAACGAACAACTGAAAAATTTAAAACCTGACACAATCGAATGAATCAATTTTCTTACTATGAAAACTACTACTTGGCTTGCCCCCAGATTGGCTCTTTTATAAAGGCTTTCCCACACTATATCAGCTACCACATCACGTGGGACTGTTTCCCACTCATGTAATATCAGTAAGAGTGCTCTTATAGCCAAGTCCCCTGAGAGCCCGCAAACCTTGTTTAATTAATAAGAGCCCTCACCCTCCACACATGGGTGGGGGCTGGGTGGACAATAGGTCCCCACACCTGATGCACATGGATGGTGGTATGTGTGTGGACAGTGACCTGTCCACTTCACATTATGTATTTTAAAGTCCCCCATCTGATGCCCACAGGAGTGACTGTGTCCCACAGTTTTTTCACAGCCCCAATAGCTCCGTATTTGCAATTTTTTAAATGTTTAGTAGATATGTTCCCACCTGAAACATGGCCAGCTGCTACATAATTCACCCTTGCATTGCCAAGGGTTATTTAACTATTTGTCAGCATACTGCTAGCATTGTCGGTGGGCAAATTGTCTTAAAATTATCATTCACTTGCATGAAAGCAATTTGGAAATGTGCATCCTGTTGAATACATATGGTCCCACATTTTATTAAAAGCGGTGCTTTGTGAATCTTCTGAATCCAATACTTGAAAGTACCAATTTTAATCCAAACCTCAACTGGATCAGGCCAAATTATGACCATATTTGTCTTTAGTAAATATGAGAATTGCCATTGTGATCGGAATTTTGTCATTTTCACCGGATTTTGTCCATTCGGACAAAATCTAGTGTTCAGTGAAATATCCTGTAAGTGTATGATTTAAAGAATGTCTGGAATAGATGGACATACAAGAATATATCTTTTGGTTTTAGAAATAACTTTGACAGACAGTATTTGTCTGGTACCAAACTCAAATTTTACATTGCAATCTTTAATGCCCCACTATAGAAGGCAATATCACTATCACATAACATAATCATGAGATAATTACAAGTTTTATGGAAAAAAATATAAAGCCTACTGTATTATTATTTGCTCTTGTTTACTTGCCTGATTAGCAAAGCAAAAACTAATTACTAACTAAAAACCAACAGTGAATGAAGAAAGAAACCTTGTTGCAACATACAGATGATTTCATAACTATCTCCAGTCTACACCTTGTCATAAAGTCAACTCAGTGTATCTCTCTGTCTGTATGCATAACCTTATAAAGAGATAAGGACAAAAGTTTAAATTCCAGTTTCTCTGTGTATTGTACAAGTCTGGAATATGCTGAACGGCTCAAAAATAATGTATACGGCATTTTAAATCATTAGACTACCAAGAATCACACAAAATGTAAAATGTAGCTTGTTCTTATAACATACCTCCCATCCCTATGTAGGAGGTACTGTTCCAATGTTGGGCCCAAATCTCCCCCAGTCCTCTTTTCCTTCTTATCGTCATTCTTTTCTAGGAACTCAATACTGTTTGTGTGTATGAGTGTATGACAGAGCTATAATGCAGTTATAATCACAGCAATAGTGAAAGTAAGAGAATTTCAGAGAGGGTTGGTGAAAACCAATCCACCTACAAAAAAGTCCCTTAAGTGGAGCGCTAAATAGTACATACCCCTAATCTTTGGGGTATCTGGTATCCTAAATGGAGGTTAAACATGCAAAAAAAAGGAAAAATATACAGTAGTGGAGTATATGTCAATGCTGATACACAAATCCTAAAGTAACATAATCAAACTCACAAGCGAAGAGCCAAGTGGAGGACTGGCTAAAATCACAATCACCTTGGTGTGCATAAGGAGACACCTTTCCTCTTTGTATTTTCTTTCTTCGATGTTTATAAAGGAATATACAAAGGAAAGATATCTAGTTGGTGAAGTATGTTAAGATGAGGTATAAACGCAATCAAAGTACCAAATGGTATAGTGCTCACCTTTTTCAGAGCCAAATCTGTATACCTGGCTCTGGTTTAAACAGGTCGTTACCCACCTTCTTTGGAGGTAGATGAAGATAGCAGCAAGTAGGATTAAATATGATCCAATTGATCGATTTAATAAAATGTATAAGAATTAAAAGTAAACATATATGAATTACAAAACAATAAAACCAATGTCCATAAATGCAGGGAATTTCCTTTGAGACACGTTTTGCCCTTTCCTCTGCCTTTTTCAATCGAAGTTGATCTCCTCTTCATACCTCCTTCTTTTTAAACCCCAGTTCTGTCATCAGATTTTTCCTCTAGGCACCTCATTATCAAATCCGGTCCATCTTTTCTGTAGGTGTTCCCTCTCCAGCTGATTGCGTTTTCCGTATTGACTACCGGAAGTGATGTCACATCCATTCGTCACTTCCGGTGCAGGTATCGCCATTTTTCTTACTGGTGTTTTTCGTCATGCCAATGTCCATACATGGGGGTAAATAAGTCCATGACTCTAATGTAACTCATAATCGCAGAAAAGAACAATAGCAAGCAGTTAAA